ACAACATGACTACACAACATGTCTACACAACATGACTACACAGAAGGTTTCACTCTGTGAGAAGTTTGATCCCTGACCCCGACACGGCCTTCTGCACAGAGGCACGTGGTTTGAAAAGCTCGGAGGAGCAGCACCGACATGTGACCACGGTGTGAGTCCATCACAGAAGAAGAATTATAACCCGTCCTCACAGTCCACGTGCATTTCTTTCCTCTCTGCAGCCGAACCTCGTCAATTAACTGATTCATCAACAACAGAACATAACTGATGATTGAATCTGACTCGAGAGACATTTGCTCTGTTTCTCTTTGGTTTGGGACCAAAGACATTTTCACACTTGAATATAATCGCAGCCTCAGTTTATCGTGGTCAGAAATCTCAGCTACAGATTTCCCTTTAAAGACACACCTGTCTGCATGGACAGATAATTATTATTGGTGTTGAGGGAGTAAAGATAGAACATTACCTCCTTCTACATCTGTTTTCTAACTTTATTGTCGACATGAGACAGAGAGCAGCGTCATTAATGTGTGATTTTGAAAAAGATTCCTCTGCTGTTGGTCAAAGTTATTTCATTCTTATTATAAAAACTCTGAGTTAAACGTAAACATCTCTGACTCACGAAGGAGACACAGTGTTGAAGCTCCACGAGGGAATTCTTCGTGAACTTAAATAGTTGAAGGTCTCTGCGATGAAACGTCAGCAACCTTCTCCGATTCTGAAAAAGAAAAAGAGAACCGCTGCAGTCGTCCACAGTCCCTACACCAGAGGAGCCTTTCAAAATAAAACCCAAGGGCGGACTTCCTGTCAACAGCTCAAGCAGCTGGTGACTGACGACAATTCACAGATGAACCTGGATCCTGAGTGAAAACCTGAGGTCGAGTCACAGGCAGCAGAGAAACTCTGCGAGAGACCGGAGACATTTTCTCTGTCGTGGAACTGAAGGAATGTTGATGACGAGGAGACGTCCGCTTTACTTTGGCAGTGACAAACATCTGAAAGGAAAATCAAAGATTAAAACTCTGATGCAAATTAGAGCCAATATTGATTCATGGGGCCGACACCAACATTAGGGAGTAAAACAAATCTAATACCAACCAGCTGATTTATAAAAAACCAGAAGTATATCAGCTCATTAAACAGATCAACTGTCCTTTAACCTGCGGCCTGAACCACAACTTCCTGTTGAAACTGTTCATGGTGAAACAGACTCACTCGAACTGGTCTCTCTCCTGCAGGTTCAGCACCAGGCAGACTTTGTTCTGGGACAGCGCCACCTACAGGTCCAACACAAAACAAACAAAACAAGCGTCACACAGTGAAAACACAAGTGGACGAAAACACAAACTCACGCACGCACAGACAGACACACACACATCTTTAGTTTGTCTCAAACCACGAAACACGAGCGCACAGGGAGGCGTCCACGAGCAGACCAGTGTTAGCTTCATGTCTTTATTTTAACCTGGCTAATGCACGGCCGTACGGGACGAATCTGAGAGCAGAGGACGAATCTGAGAGCAGAGGACGAATCTGAGAGCAGAGGACGAATCTGAGAGCAGAGGACAAATCTGAGAGCAGAGGACGAATCTGAGAGCAGAGGACAAATCTGAGACGTTTCACTTCCACTCAGAATACATAACATAATTATGTGTAACAACAGAGAGCTATGCTGGATTTGAAACTTTCCGATGGTTCCGTTTAGAAAAATTAACCACATCTTGACTCACTAATGTGACATTGTTATATAAAATACCACATAAATAAAGTTAATATATATATATATATATATATATATATATATATAGTATAAATACTAATGTGGAATCAATGTGTTTATATCTACAGACATCCACTGTTTACATTATTAAAGTGGGTTCTTCAGATTTCTGTTCATGGTCTGTATTTATGTTGCGCTCCTCATCGACCACACTCCGTCACACACGGCCCATGGGGTCATTTGGGCTGCAGCATCGAGCCCAAGGACACTGGTGGACTTGGGGACCTGGGAATTGAACCTCTGACCCACTCTACCTCCTGAGCCACAGCCGCCCGCCCGCCCCCAGAGCTGCTCACTCACGCCTGACCTCAGCACATTTCTAACAAACGTCTCGCCACCGTGTTTCATACAAGAACCGCAAGTTAGAGGACCGATATCTACGAGTGTTTGGTTTGACTGAATGGTGTGAAAGGTAATATAGCACAGACATCAGAAGTCTGAATAAAATAACTACATGAGAACAGACTCATAGATTTTAGGTTTATACTTTTTATTAGTTTCTGCTCATTTGTCTTTATTGTGTTTTGTTGCTGATGGAAACAACTTTAACATTTAAATGTTGTTTGGAGGATGACATGTTTTATTTTGAAGCAATAAAAGCTTCTGGTTTTTCTTCTCTTACCGTCTTGGCGATGTTCTGCGCTGCACGGATCTTCCCGAGTTTCAGGTAACCTGGGTTTTTGGTCACAGCCTCGCCCAGCTGTTACACACACACATTTAAATTGTTAGTGTATCACAGGAGATTACTGTTACACACCTACAAAAGAGAGCGTGAGCGGTCGGCCTGAGGCTGATCAGCAGCAGGCTGAGCCGGTCTGAGGAGAGGCATCACTTCTCTGACCGTCACGAGGATCAAAGCTGCAGGCGTGTCGCTGCTCGACGTTAATGTTCTCACGCATGTTGACAGGCGTGTAAAGTAATTACTGCATATTTGGGTGAAGTGTTTGTTTAAGATGCTTCTGTTTCTCTTCACGGTCGTGCAGCGAGTTCACGGCACGACGGGTTTTTATCGGAGGTGGTTTGATGCGTTCACTTAATTTAAAGGTTTTAATTTTGGACCTGAAACAAACGTGTCCATTAATTTGGAGACAAAACTCTATTATTTATGGAAACAACTGTGAGAAAAGCACACCCTCACATCATCTGTCAGATTCTACAGCAACAATAAACTGGAATAAAGAAAGTGATATTTTCTCTATTTGAGTTCTTCCTGTCCGGACCTGAGCAGTGATCTCTCAGTAGAAACCACAGCAGCTCTGAACAAACTGCATCGATCTAAAATACAAAGCAGATGATAAAACACTGGAGGCAACAGGAAGGAAACAGGAGTTACCAACTGTTTGAGAAGCTTTTCCCTCATTCTTTTATCTATATTCTTAAAATGATATTTTACCGTGTTCCTGGTTTTGGAGATGTGTTTGGAGAAATGTGAAAGTTAACAAACAGAAGTTAAAATCAGTAAAAATGTTTTGATCTGAGCAGCCCTGGTTACACGTCTTGTTCCTGTCGACGGAGCTGAACGCAGATGACGGACACGAAAACCTTCTGTTCAACTGAAAAGAGCCAGAGGTCACGAAGCAGCAGTAACAACACCTACGCTGCCACCTGGTGGACACAACTGCTCTTACACAGACCTGCTCTTTACCAGCTCGTCTCAGTGCAAACAGCAAACTCTGAAAACAGAGATGAGGTGAAGGGGAATACAGAGGATTAGAATTCTATCATTACTTCCACCAGCTTTCACTCCAGGTTCAAAAATAATAAAATCATCATCGCGTCAAATCAACTGAGAAGCAGAAAAAAAATCTGGGAAACATTGAGGATGCGTCGGATCTACTCAGGCTCCCAGAAACACAAACTACACAACATGACTACACAACATGTCCACACAACATGACTACACAACATGTCCACACAACATGTCTACACAACATGACTACACAACATGTCCACACAACATGACTACACAACATGTCCACACAACATGTCTACACATACAGAACACACAGGAAGTAAAACAACAGTTGATGTCTTAACGACTTTACTGAACACAACCGTGTTTTAAACAACTCACCCTCTTGGCAGCCTGAGCTTCTCCCTCAGCCTGGATGATCTTCGGTCTCTGGTCCTGTTTGGCCTTCTCGACACAAAACTGAGCTCGCTGCGCCTCCTGCTGGGCTGAGAGGAACAAACACATACAAGGTTCATATTAGAATTCATTTTTGAACTATCACAGGTTTCATTATGTTCCCGCAATTGTCATCAGTGCAGTTCTCTCTCTTTCACTCTTAAGTCTGTCCCCGTTACCCGGGTACAAACGCCAGAGCGGCATTTGTGCACGTGCACCCCCTCGTGCACATCAGTAACTTTGGCAATCACACTGGTCACACATGACAACACTCAGTCTGCGTCCACAGTAACACACCTGAAAACACACGTAACACAACCACAGTGGTCATGTGACGTAAACAGGAAGTAGTGTGTCTCGAGGTGGAACTGTTCCTGACAGGAAGTGTTAGCGACGCTTTGTGTTCACCGCTGGTAGTCGAGTCATGTGACCGATGAGAACCAATCACAAGAGAACGTGGGCGTCATCGTTTCCTAAAGTCTCAGTTTGTGTTCAGACTAAAACACAAACCAGAGTTTCAAACTGAAACCAGATCAGTTATTTATTGTAAACTTTGATTTGCAGAGTCGTGATATTCTTTTATTCAACGATATTATTTTTCGTTGAATGAATTGATTTGGTTTGTTTCACGGAGAAGCTCACGTAGAAACAATCTAAACCAAAAGACGTTGAAAACAATAGCTCCGTCAAATCTTCACTTCTTAGACCGAACGTTCGCTCTGATGTTCCATGTGACAGATCCGTGTTCGTACCTGCGCTCTCTGTGTGTGATGAGCTGCGAGGAGTTAAATTTTGCCACTGCACTCTTCAGCACCTCGTTGACGATGGAGGGCAGGACACGCTTGTCGTAGTCTTGTCCCAGGTTGGACGCTAGCGGCCGGGACAGAACTCGCAGCGTGACGCTCACCATTTGAAGATCTGGGAGTGACGAGAGCGAGAAGAGAAGAACCGGCAGTCTGAAAATGTTCCTGTTGTTGTGAACGAGTCTGACCCGGACGATCTCCTGCTGCTTCACAAGAGAATCACAAACTACAGAAAATGTCCACACAACATTCACAGAGTTCATTTGTGTTAATGTCTCACCTTTGCTTCCAGTGAGTGAGGAGATCTTTCTGGGTCTGGCTCGGATGTCGTAGATGATGGGATCCTGGAACCAGGGGATCCTGGAACCAACGACAACACAGAGTTTATGATTCAAAAGAAGAAACAGAGCGAAACTAATGACACTTATCAGATTTAATGTAAATACAACTCTCTCTGTCTCAAATCCACTTGATTCAGTTTCTCTTGAGTTAAGGACATTTCAGTGTAAAATACCAAGTTTGCTCAGAAAATCAAAGCTGGTTTCTAAACAAGGGAACTTCTCACGTGCATTATTGAAAATTCTGTCACAATAACACTGAACCTGCCCGACACCGTGACACAGCTGAAGAGAAAACCAAGCTGAAGGTCGACGGCCTCCTCCACTGCACCGGTGTTTCTGCTGTGTTCAGTGGCACTAATGTATTTATATAGCACGTCTCTCAACCAGCAGTTTTCTCAGGGTGCTGCACAAAAGTCCAAGATCTGAACCCAACAAGTCCAACTTGTTCCACAGGGGGCAGGCATGAGCTACAGCGGGGAGGGAGACTCCCAGGTGGGAGGAACCTCCGGCAGAACCGGGCTCGTGTGGACGGAACCTCTGCCAGGACCGGTTGGAGTTGGAGTGTCTGTGACTCTGTGTGTCTGTGGTTTCTACTCTCTGTGTCTGTGACTGTCTGTGGTTTTTCTACTCTCTCTGTGTCTGTGGT